GGGGGGATAGGGGGGGAGATGGGGTGGTGGTTTTACAAGCCGAGGCTTTACAGGAGAAAACCAGGCGTGAACGAGAACTGAATTGCCGGTTTTCGTGTAACGTTATCATTTTCCAAAATTACAAAAAAAAAAGCGAAATCCTTCTTAAGTTTTAGTTTCATCAAATCCAAGACCCTCTAAGAACTTAACGTTTTACAACTGGATAGTTCCTGCGATAGAAGAAGTATTTTAATTTTAATTTTCAATGTAGCCGCCATTAATTTTTAGAATATACTAAGGCCGTGGATTACCTGTAAACTAGCTGATTAGCGAAGCCTAACTCGACGTTTAAATAAAGTATCGTATCGTATCGTATCGTATCCGATGGGCACCAACATGGCGTCTCCATACAAAGCTCTATAAATTTGGGTCAAAACTTCTCCAAATAACGTGCGAATGGAAAACCGAAGTTTAATTTCTGAAACGGTTTCAGTTTAAAGCTTAGAAAGGTGATTAACAATTGGCAAAAAGAAAAAAAGAAAGGAAAGAAAAAAAGAAAAAAAAAATTTTGACGACGAAAAATAAAATTTGATTTCTGTGAAAAATTTGGAAAAGATAAGAGATTTGTAATTTTAAAAAGAAAAGAAAAGAGAAAAAGAAGAAAAAGAACAAAAACAAAAACAAAAAAACAAAAAAAACAAAAAACAAAAACAAAAACAGAGTCGAGTTCGACTATTTCGACCGGGCTGAGAGTGACGAACTATTCACAAGTGCTATCCCACTACTGTTTGACGCGGGAGCTTTTGCCTGCTGTGTTTCCACCCTGGGCCGGTTCGTCCCTCTTTAACCAACCTGGAGAACTCAGACTCCTCTGTGTTCACCATATTGACGCCAAACTTAGCGCGGACACCCGATCTACATAGAACGATCACCCTCAGGAATCCCGCCCTCAAGCCATTCAACGACCCCAGCCTCCAAGTAACTGGATTACAGGCGTGCGCCACTACGCCCGGCTGACGAAATACGAACAAATTTAACAGGTCAATCGTAACAAGCCTCGACTGCCCGCCGGAAGTAAAATGGCTTATTCTTAAAGACCAAAATACATCACGATTTCTGCTGAAAACTCAAATTTAAGGAAAGAAACACGTAATTAGTGAATTTGAAGTTATATTGGACGCTAAACGTGTTGATTACACAATGTTGGTTGGATACAATTTGTCACAGTTTGGCTTTCGTTCGATTGCGCGTGCGCGAAGCCATATTGTCGGCGGAAGTTGAAGGATTTTTATTTGAACCAAAACAAGTGAAACGGACTTGTGAAACTCGGATCAAGCACCGAGCGTTTTCAAGAATTTCATTTTTATAACTATTAATAACTGAACAGCTGTTACACCGAGCTAAATTTAGATGCAGTTCATCAGCTCTTCTTTTATAAGAAAAAAAAAAATGGAAAGAAACAAAAACCCGAACAACTTCACTTTCACGGGTGTAAGCAAATCAGGCGTAATTAATATGCGATAGGAGATCAGATTTGTTGATCCGGAACACATTACTTGTTGTACATTTTCCCTTGGACGTTAAATTTTCGGACACTTTGCTGAAGCATATAGCATAAAAAAGTGCACGCCTACAAAACACGCATAAGAGTGAAACGAAATCCGTAAAAATGATTTCTGCGACTTTTTTGTGATGTTTAGACCGTAGAAAAAATTTTTCGAACTGAACTGAGTGGTGCTATTTCTAGATTGCTACGATACGTCATGTAAAAATCACCCTCATCTACACTATGGATGCTTGTACAGTCTGTGAACAAGCACACTTCTGGGATATTTCGAGAAATAAATAGCAGATTTGGACGTTGTCGTCATTTGACTACAACTACCAGAATTCCTTTCGTTTTTTCTTTATTATTTAAATTTTTAAGCCCCAGTAGGGTTTAAATAACAATTGCTCTAATTAGCACAAGAAACAGAAAAAGTGAAGGATTCTGGTAGTTGTAGTCAAATGACGTCATCATGCAAATCGCCTATTGCCGAAAGCCGAGCGATTTGATTTCAGGGGATTCGTAACCAGACCACGCTCGGCTTGCTTCGTTCGTTGGACCTCTTAAGGGAGTCTGTTAAGATTGCTTTCAGTCATTACTGTGGCCCTATGTTTGCCATCCATGAGTCGCAAAGCAGATTTTGTGTTTCAGTAGCGTAAGGTTTATTGTGTTTCCTCGTCAGGCTTACAAGGTTTTACCAGCGAAGTCGGCTTAAGTTCCATTCATATTTACGTCAGCAAACCATTATTTAAAACTAGCAAAATCAAACATCTTTGTTGTTGGTATAAACTGGGTGATTTTCAGCTGTTCGAGTCGCCCAAAACAAGCGAATTCATAATCATATCTCGGTTTGTTTACTTGTGCAAAAATACCATCGAAAGACTTGTTAATCTTGAATGATGATGGTGGAACGAAAAGAGCTTATTAATTTCGACAAACGATTAAACATCGCGTTACCACACATCACAAAGTCAAGCTTACCTCTTCGTCAGCGAACTCGCAGTACATCATGTCTTCGGACTGGCTCAGTGAGCGGACACACGAATACGTGTTGCAATTCTTAAGCAAGAAAAACATTCATAAGCCTGCAGTGACTGGCCTGGAAAAAGTTAGCCTGCGAAGAGGCTCCCGGCGAGGCAAGAAAAAAATTCGGCGAGAGAAGCGAGCGGGGCGGAAAGGTAGAGCCTGTGGACCATCCCTCCGGTGGACATTCTGTTGATGCCACCGTTCCATGATACCAGAATCTGGTATCATGATCTCATTGGTTAAATCGCTGATTGTTGACAGCTTTGGGATGAATATTTGACAGATCTTGACCACGGCTTGTAAATCTGGATAATTTTTGCCGAGACCGAGAAAGATGGCGTCTGTGTGCAAAAGTACAGTTTACAAACGTGGAACTCAGGTAGCTTTGAGAAATTCATTGCAACATTTTTTCCATATCTATGGTTTCAACCTTGAGCAGAACCTGGTTTCTGGTGTCCAATTGTTAGGTGGTTTAAAACTAGTTGGTGTGGAACATTGATCAAGTCAATCCTCCGACTTCTTCAAAGGTTGCTTGTTATTAATATACAGCAAAGGAAAGCCGCGAAGGAAAAGTTACTCTCTCTGAAATCGACACCTTATTATCTGTAAAAATATTTGGCCACTCTAATTACCTCACCGGAAATTAATTTGTTGCTTTAACTGTATAATTGTCATATCGATTAAAAGCACTCCGCTGATCCCACAAAGAGCAAAGGAAAGCCGCAAAGCCTTCACCTATCGCCTGTGCGACTTACTTGTTTATCTAAACTTGTATGTATGGAGGATATGTTCTTATTATGAGTTTGGCTGTGAACGCAAATTTATCCGATACTGTATAAAGCAAAATCCACCCCTAAATCTTCTTTTAAAAGCTAGAATTAAAAGCACTCCGCTGAACCTAATTGTCTCATTTACTAACTCCCAGAGTGCATTTCGCTTCCACAGAGGGATAAATCGTGCGTGACATGAGCGCGGCGAAACTATGAGAAATCACTATCCAAAGGATTGCACGCACGCCAGCTTAAGGCGATGACGTCACACAATACTTCATCACTTAATTATTGGATGAGGTTTTAGTGATTTCCAGAATAATCAAGGTTGAGGCTGATAACCCTTACTGAGAAATAATTGTTCTAATAATTGTTCTATGATGCATTGAACGAAAAAAAAAAAAAAGATGAAAGTCATGTTTTTGCTTTTTCGCTCATTCTTTTTCAATAATGCACCGCGGTCATACATTACATGATCACCCGTGACCTTGAGGGTCCTTGACATGATTATTGTATAATCTGCAACTAGATGACGTCACAGGTGCTGATTTCGAAAATTCACTGTACGCTTTCGGCCAATCGGAAAAGAGATAGTTAGTTTAATGTATAATAAACGCAATAAGCGGCCCGCAATGCGTACTTGTGGGCTTATGGCTAGTGTTATGGCATCGGGTTGACATATTCTAGTCTTACAAGTAGGCAACTACTAGAGGGTACAATAATAAATGAGCTTGGTAATACTTTCGCATGACTTGTCGGGCCGTGCTAGAAACGCACAGCGCTTCTCTACAAACTAATATAATCAGTATTTTCATCATTTCCGGAATAATTGTCAGTGTGGCGCAGTGGACAAGTTAACCACCATAAGAGTGGGAGGTTATGAATTAAAGTCCTAGTGACGCAGGAACTTTTTCTCTTCTTGTTTACTTAATTTTTTTTCTTTTTTTTCTTTTCTTGAACGTTTACCAAAAGGCAGCGTTTGCCTTTTTCGATGCACGCTTGTGTTGAATGAAAATAGAAAACAAACAAACAAGCAAACAAATAATGACGGCAACAGAACGATTGAGAAATAATAATAGTCATAACTTACCTTGAAAACTGCAGCTAAACTCGTAACTGTAAGCTGTACAAGATTAATTAACTTAAATTTAAAATACGCGTGGGGAAACGGATTTTTCCATACCAGCCGATAAACTCATCAATTCCCTCTAGTCCCTTCCCTGCGTCGGAAATTCAATTTCAGATCTTTTAACTGACATAATTAATGCGAGAAACTTTGTGAAATGCCTTTGCTGGGGAATCATTTTGCTGTACCAAAAGATTGAGAAACCGTGTATTTTAGATAGGTTTTTCAATTGCCTGGAAGTTCTTGTCATGTGAAAGGCCCGCGCCAGCAAACACTATTACAGCCGCCGGGAGGGTTAGTCGTTTTGTAAACTGATAATTTAAAGTATTAGCACACGTCTATAGTTTCCTACCCGCTCAAAACTCACAAACAAATACAGCAACGCAATGATCGTTCGAAATCTCGTCTCTAGTGGTGGATTGTCGTTGAACAAAACCAAGATACAGAGCGGGGTGAAGGGGGCAGAGAAGGGGAGGGGAGGGAGGGGGG